GTCCGGCCCGACGTACCAGATAACTTAATCAAAGGAATCCGTGCCAATTCGCTTCAACATTAAGGACTTCTTAAAATTTGACGTCAAATGTGGTTCATCGGAGCATCTTGAACTTAGGATCTTGTTAAAGGGAATGTTCCACATGTGAAAATATTAAGTTAGGCATCAGATATGATGGGAAATGCTTCCTTGTAGCTATTGGTAAGCTTTCAAAGCTCAAAAACGACGCTGGGCGGCAAAATTTCAAAGTTTACAAAAATGGGCCCCATTACGTCATTGTTTGATGGCGTCATGAAATGGGCTTGTGACGACAGTAAAACCTTGCAGCATCTGGCAGCCAGACCTGAAGAATACCTCGAAACTCACGAAAGCTGACGCCAATCGGACATTCTCGTCGCGGGGGCTGTGTCGGAGGGGCTGATTAGTGGGTGGGTTATTTGTGGATTTTTTGTCTTGGTGCTGGCCGTAAGAAAAGCTTTCGTGGACTGTTTCACATGCGCAATGTAGCGATCGCCAGCTTTTATGGCAAATTATTAATATCAAAGCACGATATGCTGTGCTGCTGCTGTTGTTGGTTTGATGTTGATAATTTTGTCAATAATTTATTGTCGACCCATCATTGCGCGCAGTGCTGTAGCCCTGACATTGATTTCAGGTGATGTGTACAGTAGTCACCGTCCTTATTGTTTGTAACTTGAAATGGGGTGTCGTACTAAAATTAATAAATTTGTAACATTGTCTTTATTGTTTGTAACTGGAAATATGGTGTCGTACGGCAATTAATAAATTTTTAACCTTGCCATGTATTGATTGTCAAAGCATTGCTATTGCTATGCTAAAGATGGTGAGGTTGGGATATCAAGAATGTTTTCTTTTTGCTTAGGATTTTTCATGCAATTAATAGTTAACCCTGATCTAACCATTGTGGTGCAACGACATTCTTGCAGTGGACAGTCATTTAGCATTGTTGAATAATTTTTTACCAGTCATTCATGAATTACAAGCCTCTGTTTCATAGACTTGACATAGAGTACTCAACCAGTGTCGTACATCGTGTAATGGCACTGGTCGATAGCTTCATTGTGATACTATCTCGGTGCTGTACTGTGGCATGACATAATGAACAACCATATGGTTTTTTGACCGCAATCCATGCTGCTTTTATATTAAATTTCAGCATGAAAAGATGGGTCAAGCATGTGGTCTTGTATTGACTTCCCATCTGAGATATGACTGACCAAAAACACATGATACAATATACAAATAACTTTCAGCAAAGCAGACAACCAATAAGTGGCATCGCTTGGTCAGCCTGCGTCGGGAATCCAGAAAACGCAGGCGAGAAAGATGCAAACACATCTTTCACTTCCATGGTCATGCAACATGTTGAGCCATCTGGCTGCTTTACTAAAAAATAACAGGACAATTTTACATGTGGTGAAATGACACTGCAAACATGTTGACCTTGCACAAGGCTGGAGACATGACAAGTGCATGTAGTTATGGTTGGATTGGCAAAATGCAAGGACGTGGCTGCCAGTGCACACAAGGCTCGTGATGATTATATTATTAAGTGCTGCCCAAGACACCAACAGCAGTACTTTTCCACCTTTCTCAGCACCCAGCATCCCACGCAAGTTGCAGTGACTATGGCATTTATTACTCAGGATTAGTGCCCGCCTGCATACAATATTTGTGAGGACAGTACAATGTGCATCAGTAATAATAAACGTCTACATTTTCAGAACTATTTAGGGAAAGACAATTTTGCAAAGCCATATCATGTGAGCCTATACTGAGCATGCCCATTGATGAGCTGCACATACTAGTTCCTACTGCCAAAATGAATTGTTGATATAATGGCATGCAATGGACTAATTGCATGCTGTAATAGGCCAGTAGGTTCACAGCCTTGGCAAAATCATTATGATGTACCAGTACCAATGCTTGCCTTTGTACACCCCTGCAACATAAGTGCTAGTGTTTCTCTCAGTTTGCCAGCATTCCTTTGTCATGTTCAAACACAAATATAAAGGTAGAGGCAGGCATCAATATCAATAGGCATCAATATATCAGGCATCAATATATCACATTTTATTGGGAGTCAGTCGACTGAAGAATACCAAAACAATGTTCTCTCTCAGAAGAACAAACCTCGCACGCACACTCCCCATCACGTCAGTGCCAATACAAGCCACTGGCACATGCCACCAGTGATCACACGCATTCCGAGCCCCGATTCACACTCTTTTGTCAAATAAGTGTGATCTCCCGTTTGCACAGTTAACGGGACTATCAAATTGCGGGTTTTCTCACAATTTCCGCACAAATCGTCAGTCACAACACCAAACTTCACCGTGATCTCCCTTCGAAACAAAGTCCCAACGGGAGTTCATGGTAATGCGGCTTAAGAGGTCTTTCTTGTAAAACACAATTTTTTGCTTTACATTTGAATTTATCGTACCATATCTGTGAAATACTTAGATGAATAAATAAATAAATTTATATATATATATATATATATACTTACTGTAATGTTTCCCTGATTTCATACTGCCTTGCTGACCCATAAACCCGCGCAAGGTTCTGTGCTCCAGTGCAGAAAGCGCCAACCGAGCTGTCTGTTAGAGATATGTTAGTAAAAGAAGAAAAAAACGCCAGCAGGGGAAAAAAGGCAGATTTGTCGTTGCGCCTTCTTTCTTATAACTTAGGGAAAGTGACCATTTTTTGGGTGCCGTACTTCTTTGCAGACAGTAGCGTTCTTCTTTTTTATAAAATTGACCTGTGGCCTAGAAATAAGGAAAAATGATCCTTTCACGACGAGTGTCGCACAACCCGAAATTGCTTACGCTTGTGTTCGCGACACACATTTAGCAGCAAAATATTACTAACACCCAATCATCTTCCGCGGACTGTACTACATGTGCAGCACCATCGCATTTGCGAATGTAGCAGTGGCCATGCTGTTTTGACCATAAGCAAAAAACAGCCTGTAATATCACGGGGATCTAATGACGTTTCTATGGCGTCATTAATCAGAAGGCGATTTTGAAACGGGCTCTAAATACCTTCTTAATCATTACAGCGGGATCACAGGTATGCACATGCACGGATGGGGTCCAATTAGTGTAAGGTCTTTCCCATTGAGAATAGAGTTAATAGGTTACAAGTCAATGAATGCCAGCCCAGGTCCAAAGTTGTTGCTGGATGTAGGGTGGTTAAGACACAAATTTGGCGCAGCTGCGCCGAAACTTTCGGAAATTGTTCTTGACAAAAAGCTTTGGGGAGCAGACTGACAGCCACCCGGCCACCTGTTTCGTGCCTGGAACTTCAAGCTGTACAGTATGGTAAAGTACATTTGTGATATTGTTGCTCGGTCTCGTGCTTAAACAATGAGACCATTCAGGATACAGAGGGTAACAATGCTATCATGATGGTATGGCATGGTTGATGGTCGCAGACATGCTTCCAAGATGTTCGTAGTTCTAGAAATTCAACTTTGTCAAATGTTAGCATATTTGTAATAAGAATACCAAGTTGTAACCGTTATCCTAGGCATGATTTATGACGGTCAGTTTGCTTGGAAATGTTGCAGTAAATTTTACGGTGAAAGATAATAATGCACAAATATCGTTTACTAACGTGCAACGCGCTTCGTAGGACAGGGCCTTTATCCTCAGCACCATAGTCACTCTGTTTTCCATCCCCACTCAGCCGAAAAAAATTAGCAGCAACGGCATGCAATATTGGTGACCTTGATCGGCATTCGGTTGGCATTCGATCTTGTCTTCCAAGCTTATGCATGGGTCCTTGGTTTGCCTATAGCTAGAAAAGTAATGCCACGGCGCTCGCTTTTGACCTCGTAAACTGACATGATAACATTCTAGCATAATTTTTATGAGCTAATCATGCGTGCGTATACTCAACGTAGAGAAATGCGTGGTCCTATTAAAAATTGCATCTTAGCACTGAACTTTATGCCACCAGGAGTCTTGAAATGTGTGCCGTTGCTGCCACATGATTATACTAAATTTTGGTCACCTCCCTCCCTGGAGGTGACACGAGAGGGGTTAGGGCCTCCCCAAGAGGGTGACACCTCCCCCGAAAGACGAGTATGGTACAGCACACTAAAACTTGTATGAATGTCCCACATTGACTGTTTGTTAGACCAACTATGTAAAGTTGTTCTAGCTACCTGCAGGGGTGTACGTTTTGCGTAAGTCTTGGAAGAGTTAGCAGGACAATCTTAGAGCGGCAAGATAGGTGATGATAGGGAGAACAATGACACCATATTAATCTGCATTCATCTCATCACCATCTGGCTATGCTGGTAACACAGGTGAAGATTCGGGTGATGACGAGACCGTGGATATCGGCGATGTACCCGGGTCCCAGTTAAATACTATCGATAGTTTCAGCTCTCAGGGCGACACTCTTTCAGGCCTGCAGCAGACAATACCTATGGCCCAGACTGTGATGTTGGTCCAGAGGCAGCACGTTGGCTTGTAGTGTCGCTTTCGGTCAAACCCTCCATGTGGAATGACTTTTGCAGCCATCAGGGATTCGTGCACTGGCCACATGAGCACTACGCGTGTGCAGGAGACAAACGCTGCGGAGCTTTCTTTTTTTTTAAAAGCACGCGATGCACGTCGTTGCCAATCGCTTTGTGAAGTGCAAGCGCTGTCTAAGTCAAATTAGCGGTCATAGGCCATGCCGCAACATAACTCAAACCCGGGCCCGCCGTGGGAGCCAAAGGCGCTAGCGACACGGCCACTATATTTCCGTGAAAATCCCGAGTAGCTGTAGCGTTGTCAGCTCAGTTTGCTGGCGGACTGTCCGAGCGCTGATGTCACCTGCGGCCTCGGGCGGGAGTGAGAATGGATGACGTCGGGCCATTCGGGGCCGGATGCACCCTAGTGGATTTCATTTCCTGTGCTGGACGGTTTGTGCATCACAGATGGTGGCATTGCTGTTTGTTTCAGGTACTCGCTCCGGCAAGCATGCGCGGACCATTCAGCCTAATGCGTCTGTCGTCTCTGTTGACCGTGCTGCAAG